TAAATCTCATCAGATCACCAGCAATGTTAATTTAAAAAGTTAAAATTTTGCAAATCAAAACCTTTGAGGGCTCCAGATTTCCTGTTTTGTATTTGGAAAGTTAAGAGCTTTCATGTTTGACAAACATTTTTACACATCACAAATATTAATGGTAGTGTTGCTATCAGTGAATAAAAACATAAATGAGATAATGCTAATGTTACATGTTAGCATTTCACCTTTGCGAGCCTGTTCCTCTTTATTGAGGTTAATGAGGAGATAGCGTGGACTCTCAGGGCAGAAGGGTAGCAGCAAACATTGTAGTACAGCAGGGATCACAGTTAAAGCCAGCAGCAGAGGCCACAATTTATCTGAGCCCAGCAGAAACTCCAGGCCAAAGATCTATATGCAGCCAAAAAGTTAATTGGAGGCACACGCATAAGCTTACATATATACTTACATACACTATATAGCCAAAAGTTTGTGGACACCTGACCGTCACACTCATATGTGTGTCTTCCCAAAACTCTTGCCGCAAAGTTGGAAGCACACAACTGTGTAGAATGTGTTTGTATGTTGTACCATTACAAGCTCCCTTCACTGGAACTAAGAGGCCCAAACCTGTTCCAGCATGACAATGCCCCTGTGCACAAAGCAAGCTCCATGAAGACATGGTGTGTGAAGGTTGGAGTGGAAGAACTCGAGTGTCCTGCACAGAGCCCTGACCTCAACCCCACTGAACACCTTTGGGATGAACTGGAACTCCAACTGCGCACCAGGCCTCCTCACCCAACAACAGTGCCTGACGTCACTAATCCTGTTATGGCTGAATGGGCACAAATCTCCATAGCCATGTTCCAAAATCTAGTGGAAAGCCTTCCCAGAAGATTGGAGGTTATTATAACAGCAAAAGGGGACTAAATCTGGCACAGGATGTTCAAAAAGCACATATGATTGTTATGCTCAGGTGTCCACAAACTTTTGGCCATATAGTGAATATATTAGAATGTCAGCAACAGAGAAAATTTAGACACTTTGTGTTAGCTTGAATTAGGTTAGCAAGATCGATAAGGGATTGGTAGAGAAGACAAACCACTGACAGTCGTGTTTTCTGAGCATTAAAAATCCTCAAAAAAGAGAAATAATCATCATATAATAATTATATTTTCTGGAAAAGTAACTTGTATTATAGGCTTAAATGGCTTTGTAGTTGTAGTAAATTCACAGTAATGCACAGTTAAATTATGTATTTGGGTGCAACTGTAAATAAAGTAGGACATTTTTGAAAGACAACTATTTAAATTCTGTAATAAATCACACAATGGCAGGCATGTGAAATAATTCACCTGTGCAATCAAGATGCCTATTACCACTCCAAGCTGGTGTAGAGTGCCGAAAGCTCCCCGGAGAGGAGTGGGAGAAACCTCCCCCACATACATGGGGGTGAGACCAGTGAAAAGGCCACAGAAGAGGCCAATAACCAAGCGGCCAGCGATAACCATCTCAAAAGAAGAGGCAAGAGTGCAAAGCCCCATGAGTCCTCCACCGATCAAGGCCAAGATATTCACCAAAAACATGGAATTGCGTCTGCATAAACAGAAAGAGAAAAGACTATGTGAGTTTCTGAGGAAACAAACAGTAGGGGTGACTCAAACAAGGGTGTTCATTGTGAAATGCTGGTTAAAACAAGTGGGACACGACAAAATAAATATTACAATATTAGATATTACGATATTAAGATGAAGCAGCGAGAGTCAGCAGTCATAATAAGACGTAAGAGTCATAGTATGACGTGATCTGGCAGTGTGCTGGAGGACTGAAGCTACCATAATGATCAAGACGGTCCCCAAAAAGATGTGAAATAACTTTGCTTCCAAATCAACTCTAGAAACTCAAGAGGCAAACATAAGGTTATGGATGTAACCATATCCTATGAACACTGGATAACAGTCAGGGGTGGTGTATCAACACCTGGGTTCGCACACATGTTGGAACCTTTTGACAATAAGACACATGATGACCACAGTCAAAAAAAACAAACAAAAAAACATCAGTAATGGCTGACATTCCCTTTGGAACCTTCTCACCAAGTTCGGCTTAGGTTCTGTGTGGCAGGGGCCCCTGGTGGTTATCTGGTATTCATAGAACAGGGTTACATCCATAACCCAACATTTTATTTCACCCTTCCGAATCTTCCAGGGGTGGAGTTTAAAAACCTGGATAACCTTATTCTAGTATGTCATGAGGAACCGATTCAGAATGACTGGAAAGGCATCCAAATATGCCAGTTATGGTTCTATGACCAATTAGCTGTTGTTCAGCTCACATAACACTATCAGCTATGTACTGGACATTGTAGTAAATGTTCCACACACCCTTGTAGCACATTGCAAAGTTAATCACCGGGTTAGGCTTGAGACACCTAATCTTAGGGAGGAACCTTGAGTTCTGTCATATAGTCACCCCGTGACTATTCATACAACAGGGGCTACGTCAGTCATGGAGCACTGTGCTGTTCCTAGAGGGCTGTTCAGTTCCGCTAGGGAAAAAAGGTGCACCTGGATGAATCCTTAGATCTGTTGTACCACCTCAGGGCCCACGTACCACTCTTTTGAGCATATGTGCTTTATCAGCAGCGAGACCACCACGCCATTTCTCTGACCTTGTGTGTAACTCTCTGTGAAGCTACTGTTGGTGAGCCCACTTGTGAGGGCTACTTGTGAGTTGGAGAACTTTCTTTAATCCCCTATCACCCTGAAAATCACTGTATTGTTGGAATGGCTCAGGATTTGACAGCATCACAAAAAACTGGTAGGAAGGACCTGAGGGCTATCCAGGTGCCCTACATTTTGATAGGTTGACTTGCCTTTTCCCATTCTGAGGTAAATCCCCATGCTTCCTTGGAATAAGAGCTAGTGTCCTTTCAATGGGATGATGATTTGCTCCTGTCTGTGGTATTTGAGGTTAACTGCAGGCTCAACCTACTTGAGAAAATTTCCTTAATCCCAAACACCCTTGAGGGGCTTACTGCTGCCACTGCGGTTAACAGCCCAGTCATGCCAACAAAAGCTGGAGCCGCTCATAGCAGTCTATTCAAACTGGTAAGGCACGATAACATTTGCCACTCATGGAGGCAACAGGGTGGACACCTTTAAGGTACCCTGCTCCTTGGTGGAGCCCCACTGAAAAACCTTGTGCATATGGCTGTACTCCTATGCCTCTGGTCCCTCAGATGCCGCAGGGATGTCTGTCTATGCCATCTGCCCCTAGAGAGGAGGTAGATGCTTTGACCTGTTATTGAAAAAGGCAACCACAATGTTACTGAAAAAGGTAACCACTGTGTTCCAGAGTAGTGAGGACACAAAGGATGCAATGCACAGGCCCACTGATGTGACCCCATCTAAAAGAGGGGCTTAAAAGACTCAAAAGATGAGGACCATTGTCCTTCTCTAAGCATGTGAAATAGAATTTCTTGTTCAAAACATGAAATCTATCTTTCTCTGTCCAGGGACAGAGTACTTTCCTGGGACAGGTGGTTTCTGAGCAGAATTAGAATCTGGCCAGGCCCTAAGCCCCAACAGCTGGATCGAAGGCAGAATTGAGGCTTAAATCCCTGCAGCTTAACCATTAGAATCCCTGTTTGATGCAAACACTGCTAAATAAAGTTTCTGACCATAATAGTCTCATCAGCAGACTCTGTCCTTCATGAATGATTCCATGGGGTGGGGACATCCACTAAAGGTCCACCCACATTTAAGCTGATAGTGCTCAGATGACTGCAACCACGTTGATAGGGATCTGCCCTGCATCCCATTCCAAGCATCTTACTGTCAAGAGGTTTTGAACAACTTTGCTCACCGAAATGTCAATGACTGTGGACTGACGTAACTGTTCCCATGTAAGCAGCTGTAGTCAAATGCTTGAGGCAGTATCATAAGATCTTGTCCAGATGACGTACACTGTGTTTTGGCTTCATGGGCATGAATGCCCACCAGGAATGGTTATATTATGACATACCACTAGGAATATTTTTCCAAAATGCTCTTAGTCACTAGAACCATTGTTCCAAAGTCTGAGTCTGACCATAGTCACAAGCTGTTATGTAGACAGTCTGAAATGAAGAATAAAAGGGAATGTCTGCTATTACCGATGGCTTTTTCTAGTATGGTCACCATGAAATTAGTGTCAAAAAGTCTTGACATGTGTATACATGAGGTATCCAGGTGTAACACTGCCCCGGTGGTTAGGAGGAAATAGATCAGTGTACTATTCAAAGTTAACCATCACATTCTTCACATATTCTTTTCTTACCTTCAAAAGAACACAAATGCAATCGATTTTATGACTTGTAAGACTTTATTACAATCAACTAAAGCTTTAAATTTGTAGTCAATTTATTTGGCAGATAAATAAAAAAGACTTCTGTGAAGCTGGCACCCAATCCAAAAAGAAATGGAATAAAATTAAGGTCATTTCCTTTGTATTGCTTCTGAGCTGCAAACAAATTGTTTGTGCTGGTTTATTGGTTTATGTGATTTTAGAATTGCTATATTTCAATTTAAGTCAGTTGTCAAGCAGGACAGTGCAATAAACCCTACTGGAGTTGTTCTGGCATCCTTGTTAAACAGCTATGACAATATGAGCTTGTAATCATCTAAGCAATGCTTAATTTTTTATGCTGTCATTCACACATTATTTATGTTCAGTTCTATAGCTAATTTGTATGTTCACATCCCACACATATACATTCTCTCAGCACGACTGCCACAACAAAATATCCTGGGTACTCGCCCACCCCTTAAGATGGCTCTTTGTTACGCATCACCCCTGTTGTATGAAGACAACACAAAAAGACATGTTTTATTTGATTTCTTTTTATGTGGGGGAGGGGTAGCTTCACAGAGGTTTGTTGAAGTAAGCTGTTCAAAATTAAAAACTTCCCTTTAGTCCAAAACCGTATTCCCAAAATACAATGGAGATTTTTCTGAATTCACAGCCCATATGATTGACAAGCAAGTGGGTCCCTGGAGGACTAGTGGTTAGACCTTGGTGCTCCCACCACTGCAGTCTGGGTTCAATTCCGGCCAGGGAACCAACCCCAGCCACTGGAGTTTGCACTAGACAGCACACTCCCTGTGCGGGTCCCAAGCCTGGATAAAATTGGGGAAGGTTGCATCAGGAAGGGCATCCGGCATAAAAACTGTGCCAAATCAAATATCCGGATCAGTGATCCGCCATGGCGACCCCTAACAGAAGCAGCTGAAGGAAAAAAATGATTGACAGGCAAGTAGATTCACCTCCTTATCCTGATTGGTTGGATGTTACTGGTATACCTCACTTGTTTTTCTTCTAGTTATAGTGTCTAGGGCAGTTTTCCTATGAACAAATATTGTATTGATGTCCACTGTTACATACTGACAACTTAAAGAATACTCTGACTAGGCATGTGCCAGTAATAGAATCATCTTGTTTTGGAAAATTGATGGTGGTGGTGGCTGATACTGCTCTGTGTGCTCAGGTTGGCCATCCTTGCTCTTTCTTTTAAAGGTACTGTCTAAGGAGCTTTGAGAATTGACAAGGCTGTGAAGAGCTTTGCCACTCTTTCAACCAGCAGAGTTCCACAGCTAAGTTTCTAGAACAATCTTTTGTATTCATTTCTTTGTATTAATGCAGGACATCACATCACCCAACATGCTTAAAAATTCAGTTATATTCACATGTGGGAATGTGAGTGTCTTGCTATGATTTGCATGAAATATATCAATAAATCAAACCAGCAGTAAGCAAGTTTCACAAGTTATTACAAGCCCATCACTGGGGCTTGCTACCATGGTAACTCGGTTAACTGTCATACTGGAACAGGCCTCAGTATGACCAAAGATGCAAGTGCTGCTTATAATAATTAATAGTGACAAAATGACAACTGTACACTTTAGCAACAGCTTATTTGTGGCCAGGACTAAATATTACCTGACAGACCACTGAACAAGAATCAGTACATGAGTGCTGAAAGATTTATTCTCACTGACCGCCCAAACTTGTTGGCAAGGACACCAACACTGAAGGAGCCCACCATTCCACCCACACTGAAGATAGCCACTGCTAAACTCCACACGATGGTGCACATTCCAGGCTGGATGGGCTTGCCATAACGTTCCATCCATGTGTTGTTGAAGAACGCGCGCAGTTTCTGATAAAGTGAAGAACAAAAATAGCTGTTATGATAAGGTGAGTGATACTGAGATGATTTAATTCTTTGATAAACATGACCAGTGAGCCCTACCATAATCTAAGGGATAACACTGGCCTTCTTTCTAATCATACAAGCAGATTAATTCTTTATAGGACTTTATGATTTATGTAGGACAAGTGATTAATATAATAACCACTATATATTTTATATATAATCACATATAAAGGAAAAAACATGTAATTCAAATGACATTAAGCTTGTGTGATATAACAATATCATCATCCCTACACAATATTACATTGCCTGAGTCACAATACTTTTATGGCTGATCATATTATATTACCAGACCAGCCAACTATTACACAGTATAATAGTGATAGATAGTAAATGGTTAATGATTAGATGCACTGGATAATGGGTATTGTATTTTGGGGTGGGGCTGAGTGTGTGTGAGCTGCAGAGAAAGATCTCTTTCTTTTTATTAGTCTGCTAGCATGCATATATTTGTTTTGTTGGTTTAAAACCAACTGGAATAAATGCCACCCATTCATCAGCACTCTCTTCTGACTTATCATTGTGAAGAGAAAAAAGACCTCAAAATATGGAAATAAAAAGCTCGTTCAGTTTTCGGCTGAAAGAGAAACAAAGGGCAAAGATTTTGACCCCAGATGATTTAATAGGCCTACAATGAAGCGTCAAATTTAGCACTTTAAAATAATGCTAATGGCGATGATAACTATTAAACACACTGTCTTGTTTTTTTCTTTTCGATTTACAAATAAACAGTGTTCAGGTTCTACAGTATTTTGTGAAGTCATGTCTACATATGCTTTTACCATTGCCTGTTTATCAACCCTGAGTTTGATTTCAACTTTGTTTTTCTGGATTTTGTAAAGAAATACTTCTGCACAGGGATCCTCACTATTCCTCCAAGTCTGGTCTGTTACAGAAGACTTCATCTAATGAGGTCAGCCTCTCAAAGCCACCTACAAGGAGCTCACTCCCATCAGCTCCAACAACCCTTTGCTGCCATGAAGAAACAAATAATAATATGTCATGGAAATAGGAACATTGCTGCCCATGTCTCAGTTACCGCAGTGAGTTCCCCAGCATAATGTGAAAAGACAGAAATAGCTGCTCCCAGATAAATATGATGGTTCTCCAGGAAAATACAAGGGTTTCCTAATGCAATGCTCCCTCACAATCAGTTGGCCATCAGAAACCTGTTGACCTGTTAAGGACCAGAGGTACAGCCCTCCCACAAAAATACATGAATGGAAATCACTGAGTAAACTGATGGAAACTGGTTATTCCATGCTTACTCAGGAGGAAAGGGCCTTTCACAGGAAAGAGAGACTTTACATTATTGTTTTATTTTTTTTATTGACCTTTCAGTGTTATTACAAGTTCATAAAGACAACCGTCATTAAAAACACTGAATTATTTTGATGTTACAATGAAACATTAATACTAAATATACCCCAAATTTAAAATAAACCATAAATTTAAAATAAACATAAATAAAAATTTGACAATTTAAAATTTACAATTAACTAATCTAAGATCTATATCTCATATCGCAAAACTAAATCCTAAAATCCGCTGTTGTTTTGGAGTCTGCACAACTAGGGGATTGGTGATTTCCTATATCTCTCGGTTCAACATCTTGGGATGGTCAATTTGTTTGAATTCCTTGTCTGGCAACCTGCAAGCTCCTCCTTGAGGGGATAGCCAGTCACTGAAGTTGGACTTAAAAAGCTTTTGGGCAAAGCCAAGATACAGCTGAATGCGTCTCTCTGCTAGAGTCCACAATCCAAGAATGCCAACGGATTCTGAGTACCCTGAGTACCTCTGACCAAGTATGATTTTACAAGCCTGTTTCTGCACGCTTTCCAATCTTTTAGCCTGGACTACAGTCAAAGAACTGTGCCAGACAGGGACTGCATACTCCAGCACAGGAAGCCTGTAGCCTGTGTAGATGGAAACCAGTTCAATTTCTTTAGACAACACAGAGCATAAAGCTTCCTGTTGGCTGAGGTCAACATATGGTCCACCTGACTGTTCCATCTCAAGTTACCCTGGATGGTGACCCCCAGGACACTGACTGTGTTACAAACTTCCAATATGTTCTGATCAATAGAGAGGGTCAGCCTGGCTAGTGTATGTCTCATGCTGGTGACATGTAAAACTTTACATTTCTTTGGGTTGAGATTCATTTTATGCTCCTCTACCCAAATGTTAAGACCATTCAAGGTCTGTTGGAAGGTACAGGGTAGTTGGGGTGTCCACATCTGGGCCAGTGTCATATTATCCAGATATTTTCAGTGATCTGTTCCGTTATGGAGAGCACTGTTAATCAGTGCTAAAAAGACTATAGGCCCTAGTACGGTTCCCTGCGCAACACCACATCAAAGAGATGTCCCTGATAGTGCACTTTCTGGAGATGGTCAGTCATGAAGCTGCAGATCCATGGAATGATGCCCGGTCTCACTCCAAGACTGAGAAGACACTATACTGCCACTGTGTGATCTACCGCATCAAAGGCCTTGGAAAAATCAGTTGTGATTAGTGTGCACACTGAGCCCGAATCATCACGGGCCTTGTACACAAAATCCATCAACTAGCTTATGTGCTGAATGCAGAATATGGCCTCGAAACCTCTCATCTGCCCAGGCCTTGTAACCATCCTGATTGAGAATGGAAAATACATTATTCCTATTAGCGCTCAAGTTCTCATTATTTTCCACCATGCATTGATTCTGTGGCACACAGGAACCTCACGGATGCGTAGCTGAGATTTTGAAAGTCCTTATGTCCCACTGAAAAGACTCCTTAATGTTTGTACCTTCCACATTGCCCATTGGACATGCATTAGGCTGCACATGCCAGGCCTATTCACTCCACACAGTTGTTGTTTACCTATTATCCCTCACAGAAACAGAGGCTATGGAAGAATATGTGCATAAAGCACATGCATTAGGCTGCATACGCACTATCTCTTGTTCAGCAGCTGCAGGGATTTTCTTAGTGGAGAAAAAAATAGGGGACTCTGGCCCTGAATTGATTACAGGGGCTTTAATGCTGTGACAGATAAGTACTGATACCTACTGATACTGATACTTTTCACTGGTACTCTCACCATTAAAACTTGTGCAGGGTACATGCATCTTCACAAAAATTTACCTGTTCAGTGTAAATAACCTTATCAGAGAAGGGGATCAGTGGAAAGAGTGTTCATTGCTTCATTCAGGCACTTTGAATACCTTGCAATGTTTCAGGGAATTGTGTCCCTGGTATTTCAGGCCATCATTAATGAGGTACTTCGTTTGTTCCTGCATTGTTTTGTTATAGTTTACATAGATGACACACTCATACAGTATAATCCTCCTCAGAAAAATAACACACCCAGCAAATGTGACTGATTCTCGCACAACTCCTCGAAAACCACCTCTATGTGAAACAAGAAAAATGTGAATTCGACATGCAAACAATTGTCTAGGCTACATTCTTGATTCCACGGGGGTACGAACTGATCACCGTAAGGACAAAGCAGTCTTTTCCTGGCCCCAACTGCAAACTATCAGTGAACTGCATAGTTTTTTGGGGTAAACAATATTCCATAAGAGATTCATTAAAGGATTGAGTTCTCTGGCTGCTACACTCACATCTCTGCTCAAAGGCAAGTCTAAAACCCCAAGAAGGAATGATTCAGCACTAATGATCTTTCAAACACTGAAAGAACTTTCAGCCGTGCCTCCAACCTCCAGCATCCATATCCATCTATGCATTTCATAGCAGAGGCTGATGCTTCAGCAAGTGAAATTGACTGCTATTGTTCATAAAAGCATCCTTACAGGAATGGAGGCACTGCTTGGAAGGTGCAGCGCATGTGAAATCAT